AGACACCCATCGAAGGAGGCTTATGGATACAATGAAATACCATGACGCTATAGGAAACCACAACTGTTTAATAAAGAGAAACATGGGAAGACTTACATGAACTGGGGGCAAAGTGAAATATCTGAATGAGGAGAAAGCCAAGTAAATGGAAAGCACAGCCAACAACTGAAAGTGAACGTTGTGAGATCATCGTGCCGGAGCCTGGCCCCGAGACCGTCACTGAGGACATTCTTTCCTGGCTTTCAATGCCAGGGCGGGGGTCTACGGGGATGGGACCTACGCACGATGCCGGACTCGGTGCTAAGCTGGTTTTGCCGAGCTGTTTTCTTCCCCACTTTTTCTATTCTTTTGCCGAAGGGGTGACTCTGTGGGAGGGGGAGGTGGGAGGGCTACGTTGAGAAAGGTGGATGACATGAAAGCAAAGCTAGAAACAAGTCTTTAAAGTCAATGATAAATATCTATACGTGTATAAAGCTCTATCTAATTCTTCATCATTTTCACTAACAGATCACACAGGCTTTGCGGGGTGTATCCAACTTGCCTGCACCTCTTTCTGAAGAATAAGAGGTGCTGGGGAAGGTAGGTTACGTGAAAACAAAAGACATCAAGAAAAGCTTTGGAAACAAAACAGCAAACGCTCAAAGACAACGAGGGGCCATGAAAACTGTTTCCAGGCTTCTGTGCACTGGGGGTCAGACTCGTTTCACTTGTCCCAGCCCGGCAGAAGTCACGGCCCATTTCAGAGACAAGCTTCCTCTGAACGGGGAAGGGGCTGCCTCGGAGGTCAAGGCCTCCACTCTCAGGACTGGGGTGAAAAGGGAGGCTGAGGTCCCTCCCTGCTGTTTGCGCTTTCTCGAGGTCACTTTCTGTGTTCTTTAGTTGCCACCCTCTTCTCTTTTGCCAGTGGCCTGTCCACAGACCCAGGGCTGCCTTTGGCTGCCATGACTCTCTCGCTTGGCCAAGATCCACTGGTCTCTGACAGAGGCAGCCTCTAGGCTTGCTGGCCTTCTCACTGGAACGCGATGTTCTGGGGCAGCAGTCACACATGCTTAGGAAACGATGCTACGAGTCAGGGTTACTTTTGTCCATGCCTGAGTTGTTAACACAGCCAAACAGGAAGGACTGGGGCTGTTGGAACTGCGCAGTGTCTTTTTCCTCCTTTGTCCCCCTTTCTTCCAATTTGCTATTGGTTTCGACCTTTGTTGGGCCCAGTCACTGATCTGATTTTTGATGCTGAAATGACTGATGCAACCAGCGTTTCTTGTCCTGTGAAGACGGTCCCTTTAGTTTTTTTGTGATGTCTCCTGACCATGTATCCTGTGTCTGGGGACTCTCTCACTGACGATCAGTATGTGTCATCTTCCCCTGCACGTTGTTTTATGGAGGTAGTACAATCCCAATCAACAAATACTGATAAACGCCTACTAAGTGTAAGAGGCTGCGCTGGATGTCGGGGTCACAAGAACAAAAAGATCTCATCAAGTTCCTCATTGACTTTCTTTGCCTTCTGTAAAAATGGTGGCCTGTTTGCTCACGCTCATTGTGAGTATAACTTTGGAGCTTTCCTGTTGCTTTAAAAATGGGGATGAAATCAAATTCTTAAGGCTGATTTGCCTTCTCCAAGGTTCCACTGATTTTTTCCCCTCCCCCAGTTGACAAAAACTCTTTGCAGCAAACATGAGAAGTCAGGCAAGTCAAATTCTGACACTGGCCACGTCCAAAATCGTGGGCCTCGTGCCGCATCTGACATCCATCACCTCACTGCTGCTGCTCTCCAGAGCTAGGTCCTTTATCCCACCACTCCACGTAGCCCCTTAGATTACACAGGAAGAACGCCAGCCACTCAAGTTATGCTCGTATGGTCTAAGGACTGAGGGAGACCTACCCCTCTGCCTCTCCCTGAGGTCCTCACCCCTGTCCACAAAACAGAAGATAGATGCAGAGGCCAAAGAGTGATACTTTTTGCCTTTTTTTTTTTTTTGGTATTGTTGGTATTTTTATCTGCTTCCGAAGTCATGACGGCTCCAAAAAGCCAAGCTTCTGATCTGCACGTGGCCTTCAAGTCTTCCCAGCTTGGTAAAGTCTGATAGTCTGGGCTCTGCTGGCCAATTTTTGGAGACCCCCCTGGGTTCTCAGGGTCGCCCCACTGTGTGACAAGGTGCTAGAAAAGGCCTTTCGTGGGAGGCAACTATAATCTCAATTTAAGGGGGGAAAATGATGAGGCTGAGTCTTAGAGAGGTTGACATTGAATTGCCCAAGGTCCCAAAGCCAGCAAGTGGCAAAGCTCCAACCTGAGCTCAGGTTTTCTGACCCTGGCTCTCCAGGGCTCTGCACTTCCAAGATGACAGTCTCCTTAGGTTGATTTGGCTGCACGCGTGGCCCTGGTACAACATTTGGGGAGGTTGGAGACTGAAATCCATGCATAAACCAAGGTTACTAAATGAAGGCTTCATTATAGCCTGGATTGCTATTCTCTTCTCTTACCCCATAGCACAGACAATTGAGAAGGCACTGTCACCACTGAGACGAACGACGTGTCTCCTGGAAGACACACACTTGGCATCCAAACACCACAAAGTCATGACTGGCTAGAGAAAGAGTGTCTCTGTCCAAGCTACTCACCCAAAAGACACTATAGGAGCAGACAGTGCCCAGAAATGGAGCCCCATCGCGCTGGCCAGGTGGGGATGCTCAGGGGGCAAGGCCCATTGCTCTGAGAAAGAGCAGAAGGGGAATGGAAGGAGAACTTGGGGGGACAGTGGGCGGCCTGCCATGGTGAGGCGCACTCTCCTCCTCCCTGTGTTACCACACAGATGCACAGGAGAAGGAACGGTGGTTACCACACGGAGGAGGGTTTAAGAGGGTTCTTCCTTCCCATACTCAAGATTAGGGGCCTGGTAGCAAGAAAAGTAAAATAATTTTGGAAAAAATCACAAAACCAACATTTTTGTTTTTCCTTTCCTAATACTTTATCTCCCTGGAGTTAGAGAATCAGTGACTTGGCCTCCAGCATAGCATTGAGTCATGTCTCGTGGAACTTGCAAAAGCTTACTGATGCTGGACTTAACAAGTGGAAAAAACTGGACCAGGACGAATAGCAAAAGTATGGCACCATGCTGTGTGGAGGGGGAGAGGGGGAGAGGGGGAGAGGAGGAAGAGACTGCAATGGCCCTAAATCCAATAATGTATTTAGGAATGGCCTGGAATGTGAAAGTCATAGTCGGCAGGATTGTCCCTGTGTGACCCTGGGTAAGTCACTTCAAGCAACAGTGATAGGACAGTAATGAAAATAAATGCTTAGAAATGTGACCAAAATTAAATTCAGTGGGGCTTATGCAAAAAAAAAAAAGTAATTGAGATAAAAATGATGGAACACAGAGCCAAGATACTTACAAAGAAAGCTGACACCAAGCCTACTGGGAAGGATCAAAAAATAAGACAAAAGGACCTGATTTGCCCCATCAGATGTCTGTGGCTCATTATCCAATAGACAAACAGTCCAAGGATATCAACAGGCATTTTTCAAAAGGAGAAATATAAGCAATCCATGACAAAATGAAAAAATGCTCTGAATCACTAGTAATTAGAGAATTGCTCACGAAGGCAACTCGAAGGTTCTACCTCCCACCTGTCAGGTTGGCAAAGAGGACAAACGGGCAAAATGACCTATGTTGGAGGGGCTGTGAGAAATCAGGCACATTAATATTCTGCCAGGGCAGCTAGGTGGCACCACAGTGCACAGAGTACGGCGCCTGGCCTCAGACACTAGCTATGTGACCCTGGGTAAGTCACTTCACCCTGTTTACCTCAGCTTCCTCATCTGTAAAAATGAGCTGGAGAAGGAAATGGCAAACAACTCCAGCATCTTTGCCAAGAAAACCCCCAATGGGGTCATGAAGAGTTGGACCCAACTGACATGATTCAACAACAATGCTCCACTGAAGGAACTGTAAACTGGTCCAGCCATTATGGAAAGCTGTTATGAACTGAGGGCCCAGCATTAATAAACTCTGCCTACCCTCTGACCTGGCAACACAACTCCTAAGCCTATCCCCCAAAGAGATCAAACAAAGAGGAAAAACACCGATGTGGACAAGAATATTTACGGCAGCTTTTTCTTTGCAGTGACAAAGAACCGGAAACTAAGGCATTGCCCCCCACTTGGGCAAGAGCTGAACCAATCATGGTGTAGAATGAGAAGAATCCTACCGTGCTCTAAGAAATAAGGAAAGAGGTGGTGTTCAGAGAGACCTGGGAAGACTTGTATGAACTGATGCTGGAAGAGTGAGCAGAATCAGAAAGGCAAACAACTCTGAAACACTTTGGGACTCCGATCAAGGCAGTGACCAGCTACTCTTCTGGCATACGATCCAACCTCTGACCGAGAGGGGAGGGCCTCAAGAGGCAGAAAGAGACAGACATCTTTGAGACGTGGCCAAGGAGGCACTGGTTTGCTTGACTCTGCACGTTTCTTACAAGTGGGTTGTTTTTCATTTTTCCAAATGGGTAGGAGGTGGGAGGAAAAGAAAAACAGATTTTTATTAATTAAAAATGAAAACAAGTGCAGCTTTCTATGGCGAATCCAGCTTCTCCCTCCTCCGATGCCTCATGGTGCTGCAGAGCTGACCCCGGGGCCTCAAAGATGGTGCCAGGAGAGGATGCCATCTGGTAGATCCTGCCAGGCCAGGGCAGCCTTTGAGGACAGCATGGCCATAGCGTGTATGGCTGCCCCACAAGAAACAGTGCAGCCAACGCCCTCTATTGCTTCGCTCCCATTGGTCCTGTCAGATCTTGTTTGCACCCGCTGTCTCCTCATCAGACTGTAAGCTCCTCGAGGGCGGGGACTGTCGGGTTGTTTGGTTTTGCCTTTCTTTGAATCCCCAGTGCTTAGGCCATGCTTAATAAGTACTGGTTGGCTGAGTAACACTGGGTTGAGAGGAATGAACTTGACTGTGAGTGGGTTGTCTGCCCGTCCTGTGCAAAGCGTTCCTGGTACTCACCTGGAAATACGGTGTGGATTCTCCCGATTCCCACACCTCCTCTCTCCTGCTGCTGCCCTTTGCTGCCCACCAGGAGAGCATAGCAGGGTGGAAGGTCTGTAGTCCATAGGGGTAGAAATACCAAGCACCTAGCACATGGGAAGAAAGGATAATTAAGGCAGAGTCTGAGTTCCCAGAAGGCCAAGAAGTCCAGGGTGAGGACCTACATCTTGACTGACTGTGGCAGTGTCACGCCTATGTGAGCTTGGACCCCAGCCCAAGGAAGGCAGATGCACTACAGGCCCCATGATCTGGAAGGCTACTTCTACCCCAAGAGCCTTCAGGAAAGGGTTCCCTCTCTCATGATCCTCTCAGAAGTCATGATACGCTTTTGGATGATGGCAAAAATGAGGGATAAGACTGAGCTGGTGAGAGGCCATGGAGATAGAACCCAGAAGTCCTGCCTCCTGGTCCCAAGCCTGATCAACACACAGCCCTGTCCCTTCTGAATGAGGACCGGGATGCTCTAAAGAGAGGCCACCTGAATACAGGTCCTGGTGACCATCGGCTTGTGGTGTCTTTATTCCCGAGCTGGGCTTTATCTCACAGTATGGGCTGAGTGATCTCATGGCTCCTGACCAATAGGCCAGCCCTTCTGAGATCATCCAGGGAGAACCACCCTGTCTGTTCTCACCAATGAGAAGGGGCAAAGCCCCCCAGACCTGGCATGGGCTGTGTCCTGACCAGATAACGGATTTGGTCCTGACTCAGCTCCTCTACGAATCCCCCACCCTCCAGTGCCTCGTCAGTGACCACCGAGGGTATAGATGAAACACCTCTGTGAAGCCTACACACTCAAAGTGGGTGGGACAGCCACCCGGATCATGCAGCGTGAGTCTGGGAGGTCTGCATACAGAAAATGCACCATAAAGGTTTGCTGGATTGGATCGAGAGGAGGAGAGACAGGACATAACTTTCACATTTTAGGCACGAGAACTTGCCCATAGGTGGCCTGGGTCCCTTTTCCCAGGGCTTTTGTCCCTTTGGCTGCCTAAAGGCTCCCCTTCAAAGCTCTGCCTTCCAGACTTTCCTTTGGCGGCCCTGCCCCCAAGCCCTGGTCCGTCCCGGCCCCCCCTGCCTGGCTGCGCTGGGGACTCAACAGGGCTCACCATAAGCCAGCGAAGCCAGAAACAACAGCATCAAGAGAAACAGAAGCAACTTCTTCAGCGTCGAAAAGCTCCTGGATTTCATCGGGAGGAAGGAGGAGATGTTAGTGCCTGCCCTCCCCCACCACAGTCTCCTGTGAGACCAATAAACAACCAAAAGGCTGCGCTCCCCCACACACCCCCACCCGGGGCACCCAACACGTGGAGTGCTTTTGTGGGTTTACGGACAGCCCTCGGGGTAAAGTGGAAGGAGAAAACTTGGCCTTTGTCAAATGCATTAAGATTGTTACGAAAGGTGACACGCCTCCCTTTGAGAGGTCTGGTGGAAGGTGTCTCCTCATCAGACCTACAGCAGAAATGTGTTAATACTCTGATGAATTAGGCAGCCTTCTTTTTTCTAAGTCCTTACAGTGCTTGTGAATTTGGACTTGGAAAAGCTGCAGGAGGAACCCCTGCCAAGGCCAGTCGGTCACCCCTGGCCTAGCCTGTGGCCCCAAGAGTCCAGAGCAGGGGTGGGAAACCTGCGGTCTTGAGGCCAGACGTGGCCTTTCTAGGTCCTCAAGTGCCGCCCTTTGACCGAATCCAAACTTCACAGAACAAATCCCCTTCATGAAAGGATTTGTTCTGTAAAACTTGGACTCAGTCAACAGGCCGCACCCAAGGACCTAGAAGGCCACACGTGGCCTCAAGGCCTCAGGTTCCCGACCCCTGCTCTAGAGGCTCTTGGACTCAGCCCTGGAGGCAGCCTGGAAGCCTGGGCATGCTCCTCCACAGAGAAACTGCAAGCATGGCCCAGTGACCTGGAGGACTGGGAAGAAAATTCTTGATTCCAACCCCAAAGGAGGGATTGTCCCTGGAAACTCAAGACCCTCACACTAGCAAAGGCGAACCCCCCAGACCAAGCTGAGATCAGAGGCAGGAACTACCAAGGGGAGAGTTCCGAAAAGACACTCAGGAAGGGAGCGCCACCTGCAGTCAGAGCCCTGAAGACCGAGAATAATGGGGGCTGGCGTGTGCTGGTAAATGTTTAACAACCAGCTCTGGAGGAGGGACTTCTCCCATCATCTTCTTCAGTCTAGACGCTCAGTCCACCCCTGATTGGGAGCTGACTCTCACCAGCGGGTTTGAGCTGGTTCCAGCACACCCCTGACTCTAACCTGACTCTGTCACGAGATTCATTGCAGAAAAATCTGAAAAAGCTGAAAACAAACAGGGCAAAGCCAATGGGGAAACTGAGCTCCAGGACTGTGGAGCCCTTCAGAGCCCCGGATCTCTGACTGACCTGGTTAAGACAAAGACGTCCAGCAGGGAGGCAGCTGTGGTCAGGCGGTACCAGGTGGTGCCGAGCCACCAGTAGAACAGGCCAAAGAGCCAACCTGGAAAGCACCCAGCAGAGGCATTCAAAGGCTGCACCCTCCAAGCCCATCCCGTCCCAGCGCCCAGCGCCAGCCCTGCAGCTGCTTCTTGTTATTAGGCTCTCAGATCCTCCCCCGGCTCTCTAGCTGTGCTTGGGGATCCTTCCATAATGAGCCCGTCTCCACACACTGTCCTAAAGTTACTCTACTTGGGCCCAGCATGCCCCAGCATAGGAATGAGGAAGCTCTTAGAGGTGCACTGCAGGGACTGCCCTGGGCACGGTGCCCACCCACTCACAGAACCCACCTGGAAAGGTGATCGCCATCCACAAGAAAGCGCCAACTTGGGAGGCAGCATTCCTTAATGTGGATGCCGAGCCAGGCTGGTCCATAAGTGCGTGCCCTGCAGGGAAGGGAAGAAATGAGGATCCACCCAGAAGGAGAGACAAGTGGGCCTCGAGCACCCCCCATTACCATGCTGAGGCTTGAACCCCCTCTGCAGCCAGACTGCAGAGTTCTCTCTTCCTCTTATCTGGGAGATACCCCTCCCCCCCCCCCAGCTATGTGGCAGTGAGTGGGGCAGTGCCTGGGGGATGGGGCTAGGGGGGAGTGATGCCTACCTGCGTAGTCATCCTCCGAGGAGTATCCTGAGGAGGATCCATAGGCGTCATAGGTGACTTTGCCCTCATTCAGTCCGTTAATGTCGTGACTCTCCGGGCCTCCTGTGCTTCTCCTCGTCCTTACCAACAGGTCCCCACCTGTGCACAGAGCATGGGAGGTGCCCAGTGAGCAGGGGGCTTCAGGCTTGCAGCAGCGGCAGCTGCCAAAGGAGAGACGCCTGGCAACCCCCCTAGTGGGTTCAGGCCAGAAGCCCTCCCACCTGGTCTGGGGCAGGCCATGAGTTTTGCTCAAGGGCAAAATCTGGCCCACTTCCTGTTTCTGTGTGAGCTAAGAACGGTTTTTATGTTTTTAAATATGATGAAACTTTATTTAAACACATAAAGACCATTTTTCGCTCACTGGCTGTACAAAAGCCGGCGGCTTTCTGCCTTAGGAGGCATGGTTACTCTCTCGGGGACCTGTCAAAGGGCGGTCTCTGGGGCTGAGGGGCTTCGGGAGAATGGAAGGATTTCAAATCTGGGATGACCCAGGAGATGTGCCAGCCCAGCCCAATCCAATCTTATTTTACAGACAAGGAAACAGAGGCCCAGGGAGGAGCGTCTCCTCTCCTGCTCCCCAGGCCGAGCCTCGGGTTTGTAAGCTCACCACGCTCACTCCAGTAGGAATTGCTGTCCAGCTGATCTTCCAGGACCAAGCTTCTGGCCATCGAGGCGGCCCGGGGGCCCCCAACATACGACTCGCTGACAACTGATTCACTGTAGTAGGTGGTGTGAGGACTGGAAGCAGGGCCCAGGTGAGGTGCAGGCGAGAGACGCTTCACACTGCTGGATTTCCTCCGCAGAGCCCTGGGGGGCACCAAGCATGAAGAGCAAAATGAGAGGGTGGGGGAAAGGCCAGGAGGGGAGTGAGCCTTTCCAGGATGAAAAGAAATGATACCCAAAGTCCTCTTTTGCTGTGCTTATTTCTTAAACAGATGAATAATTTTTCACGTTGAAGGCAGGGCTGAACAAAGCCACAGCTCCCATGGGCCGCGGGGGCCTCTTTCCAAATTGAACCACCATGATGAGATATGAGAGGAGCTAAGGGCCACCTGAGCCCGACTCTTCACCCACAGGCCCTTCACCCATGTGGCTTCCCATGCTGTTGCTGGGCCCTGCAGCTCACCCTAAGAACCATGGGCATTAGGGCTAGGGAGAGGAGATCCATGGCCGAGAGGGGTTGTTCCTTTCCCCGCTATAGGCCTCAGGGTTTCCGGCCTTCTCGATGCTCAAAGTTGCCCCTCCCTAGTTCCTGTTCTCAGAGAGTGAAGGCAGAAACAGCCCAGGTTGTGGTGGAAGGGGAGGAGATGGTGCTGGGGACAGGAAATTCTCACATTTGTGGGGACAGAAAGCAGTAGAGCGATGTCTCCACCAAAAATGGAGGCAGGAAACAAACGTGCACATGGCAGCAGCCAAGGCCCTTGGCTGCCCTGGGCAGTTGTGACCTGGAAGGCGGCTCAGGCTCGCTCTAGCGTGGCTTACCTGAGGGGACTGTCCTTGAAGGCGGTGTGCTGGCCAGCCGCCAGGGAACTCCCTCCACTGCTGCTGCTGCTGCTGCCTCCATCATCATCAAGCTGGTAATGACGGCTGAGGCGCTGACTGCGTCGAGACATCCTCTGAGTCCTTCACTCTAGAAATTCTAGAAATTCCTGAAAGAAGGAAAACGGAACGAGAAGCAGTGCTTACTGAGTGACTTGATGCTGTTTTCTGGGAGCCCCTGAGAAGGTCCTCTCTCCCAACGATCCTGCAGGAAGCTTCCCTGGTGAAGCACAGCCCCCACTCTCTCCCACCTCCATTCTGGGTCTCCCCTTAGCACATCTTTATCGAATTTGGGGTTGTGACACTTAGCTTGTGACCGTTCTTAGGGTGCTTCATGAACACTCACTTTCCTTCTCTGCACAGATTGTAACCTTAGGGGAAAGGACCACCTTCTCTTTCATGTCTGTGGTTCCTCCCAGCTCCCAACAGTACCCAGCTCTGTGATCTGTTCTGGAGGGTGGACAGGGTAACGTGCAAGAACTCTGTCCTGGTCCAAGCTAACCAGCTGATGCTAAGCCGACCCTGAGGCAACAGGCTTCATGAGTAACAGCCCTCAATGGACAGTTTTTTCATTTGGTCATCACACCTATTAAGGATTATCGAACTCATTTTACAGATGAGTAAATGGACAAGTGATAAGCTCCCCTGGGCCCCAACACCACCAGGAAGAGCCTCCAAGGCAGGCCCTGGGCCTCCCCATCCCCCTCTCACTGAGCTCCAACCTCAATGCCTCCTCAAGGATTTCTAAATTGTCAAGGATCGAACAAGAAAAGTTTCAAATACAGAGGGCTGATACAAAGGGGGGAGGCTATCCCAGCCTTAGGAGAAACCGGCTTCATGAAGATGAATTAGACCAGAGTTTAACCCCTAACTCAGATTACAGATGAGACCAGGTTGTAGGGGATCTCAGCTTGGTTCCCCAGTCTGTCCAGGCTGCAAAACCATCTCTCATAATCCAACCTCGATTTTGGAGGGCTGGTGACCTTTGCCATAAGCTGTATTCTTGGTGTTACTGCTTTTATTTAAATGACACTTGCTTGGGTCTTGGGAACAGACCCATTAGAGTCTCTCTGCCAGTTGTGAAAACAAGGTCTGGTTTAGTTAGCAGGGACAGTTCCTAAGCAGACCTGTCCTGAAAAGCAAGAAGCCACATGTCTTCTTGGCCAAGGAAGGTCAACCTGCTGGCTTCTCTGAAGATGGGCTGCCCGCTTGGCAGGAAGGACAGGAAGAGGCAAATCGGCAGTGGCCAAGGCAGACAGCTGGCCTGATGCCCCCTTCTAGATTCCACCCCCATATGGTGATAAAGTCTGCCCCACCCCCCTTGCCCCACTGGAGTCTTTGAATGCCCACCCACTTGGGCATCAGCATCAGCTCTCAGCCCTCCCTCCCCCATGCTGGGGTGGAGTCTTTCCCTGAGGCCTCAAACAAAGCAGTACAGCTAGTACTCGGGCTGTTGTTGATACAAACTTAACCATACCACAGGGGGGGCCTGAAGAGGTTGTATGGGCACCTCCCAAATTGCCAAGCAAAGCCCCCAGCCTGCCAGGTAGCCTTACCTTCAGAATGCCAGTGTTACAAAGACAGAGAATCTGGGCTCTTGACTGTTCTGAATTCCACAGTAAAAAACAAAGGCCAACTCTGCCCTCTGTCATCATAATCTAATCCCTTCCCTGCCGTCCTCCCCCTCAAAAACCCCCGTATGTTTTGAACAGCACAAAGCATGGTTCTCCAGAAGATCTGCAGGCCTGGAAAAGGCAGGACTCCCTCTCTGCTACTGCCTCAGAGGCTGACCCACAATCACAGAACATTCGAATTGACAGGGCCTTGGGAGATGAGTCACTCTGCTGCCCCCCCATAAGGCGACACTCATCCAAAAGAGCCCCTGTTTTCATCTTAGAGGAGAAAAACAAAGCTTAGAAAGGTATTGCCTCATCTACCACCACACAGCGTCAGTGGCAGGGCCAGGATGGGGCTAGAACCTGGGGCACCTGCCCCCCACATCCTGCTGCCTTCTCCTGACCCACTGCCTCCCCACTCCACCCTGCTCCTCCAACTCTGTGCACATGGGAGCTGACTTGGCCCAGAGTCCCACAGAGCCCACGCGCCCTGGGAAGTGTGGGGCCAAGACGCCACCACCCCCCTCCCACCTTCTCCCTTTCAACTTCACATGCTGACCCTGCCAAGTGATTTTTATCTAAAGGCCACCTACTGCCCTGCTCTGGCAGTCACTGACCTACAGGGATGGATCCCTGTTGGCTGAGGGCAGTGAGCACAAGGACCTATCCCAAGCTGTCAACAGAGTTCAGAGGGGCAGAGATGGACAGAATCTTCCAGGCTGCCCAGAAAAGGCCCAGGGGACGGGTATGGCTCCAACCACAAACACTGACCCTTTCAAAGAGCTCCAGCCTGGAGCAGCCTGGCTTTCCCTTCTCTGCCCAAGGATGACCCACAACACCCCCCACAGTCCTTTTCAGGAGCCACTAAGCCAAAGTAAAGGGGTCACTTGCACCTGCCCGGGGTCTAAGTTTGGCTCAGCTCTGCAGATGAGTTTGGGGTGAGGGAAGTGGCCCCTGGCCCGAGGGGACCTCCTGCAGGGAAGACGGAGGAAGGGGCCGTGATGCCCTGGCAGGGACACCCAGTGAGCCGGGGCAGCCAGGCCTTCAGCCTGGGAAGATCATCCCTGGGCTGGGGCAGCCCCACATCAGAGGGTGAGTGGAGGGCAGCTGGACTCTGGCACTGGGAGGATGAGCCCGTCCAAGACCGGGCACAGAGTGAGTGATAAGGCCCAGTCTGGCCAGCCAAGAGGGGCATCTGGGGCCAGGGGACTGGGTTGGTCAACCCTGGGCACGGGACTGTTGCCAGCCCTCCTTCCCCCCAAAACACACACACACACACACACACACACACACACACACACACACACACAGAGCCAACTGGGAAAATCAACACAACTTTGTCCCAGAGGGAGGTGGAAAAGCATGCCAGGCCTTGGCATTAAGAAGTGAGCCCTGGCCTGGGCAACTCCATTTTGGGGTTGTTTTGTGGAAGAGGGAGATGAAGCAGGGGGACAACCAGGCCTAGCACTGAGGGACTCCACTCCATGGAGACCCCTGTAGGCTGGGGATTTGGGGGGAGAGGTTGGGGGTACAGCAGAGGCAGCTGTGCCCTGAGGGTCAATTCCTGGGGGGCACAGTGAGGGTATGGACAAGAGGAGAGGCAGCCCTGTGCCCAGATCTGGGGGGGGGGGCAATTCTTGGCGGGGTGCAGCTCTGTCCTGGCACAGAGCGAGGACAGACGAAGACGGTCAGACACTGTGCCCAGGTCTGGGGGTGCAGACAAGGGAAGGGTCAGCTGTGCCCAGGTCTGGGGGGGCAGACAAGGGGAGTGTCAGCTGTGCCCAGGTCTCGGGGAGCAGCTCTGCCCTGGCACAGAGGGGGTCACCGTGCCCGCGCCCGGCGCCCCGGATCCTCCCCCTCCCCCCTCCTCTCCCGGCCCGGCCCTGGCCTGCGGGCCCGCCCCGGTACCTGCGGAGACGGCTCCGTCCCTCCCCCGCCCGCCGCGTCCGCGTCCGCGTCCCTCGGCCGCTGCTGGGGGAACGCGGAGGGAACGCGGGGCGCGCGCACGAGGGGGCGCGAGGACAAAGCGGGCGCGAGCTGGGGCCAGGGGCGCGCGCGGAGAACGGGTCCGCGCAGCTCCGGGGGCGCCTCGGTTCTGCCGGGTCCGCCTCTGTCATCGCAGACAGGCCTAGGCGGAGGCCACCGCCCCTGGGGCCCGGCCCCGCCCCCTGCGCGCGCCCATTGGGCGGTTTGAACAAAAAGTGTAGCGGACGGCCCCGCCCACCGCCGCTCAACGGCCACTCTGAGCACGAGGGCGCGCCCCGCCCCCTCGCCCTCTGCCCCCCCCCCCGGCCCCCACCCTCTCTGGCCTCCCTCCTCCCCTCCAGCCCTCCCCCTGGACTTTCACCCCTTTCCCATCTCCCTTCCCGTCCTCCTCTTCCTTTTCTCCTCTCCCCCTCTCCTTCCCCCTCCTCACCTGTCCAGCCTTCTCCCTCTCTCCTTCTCTCCCCTCCCCCTCCTCCTTTTCCTCTTCCCCTCCCCCCTTCCCCTCCCCTTCTCTTCCTGTCCTCTGCCCTCCCCCTGTAGCCCTCCTCCCCCCCCCCCTCCGTGATCCACCCCCCAGTCCTCCCTCCTTTTCCCCCCCTTTAGCTTTCCCTCTCACGTCTCCCTCCCCTCTTTTCTTCTGTCCTCCCCGCTAACCCCTCTCTGCCTCCCCTCCCTCCTCTCTACCTTCTCTTTATTTTTCCTTCTTCTTGTGCCTCGAGACAGGCCTCTCTTCCTCTTCTGCTCTCCCCCTCTCCTCTCCCCTCCCCCTCCCCCTCCTCCCCTTTCCCTCCCCGTCTTCCCCTGTCCCTTCTCCCCTCCCCCCTTCTCCTCCCCCCTCCCCCTCTAGTCCTCTATCTCCCCTCCCCTCCATGATCCACCCCCCTCAGTCCTCCCTTCTCTTCTCCCCTTTAGCCTTCCCTCTCCTCCTTTCTTCTCCCCTTCCCTCTCCTTCCTCCCCTCTAACCCCTCTTTCCCTCCCCCTTATTTTCTCTCCTCCTCCTTGTGCCTCCGGCCAGTCCTCCCTTCTCCCCTCCCTTTCTTCTTCCTCTCCCTCCCGCCCCTCTCCTTTCCTCCCAGTTCCTCCCATTCCCTAAGGGCTGGCATCCCTGGGTTAGTCAGCCTGGGCAAGGCTGGGGAAGGATGCTGGCAGCTTTCAGGCGATTTCCAGACTCTACCCTCCCAACATCCTCCTTTATGGTTCAAAGCACCCAGACCCAGCAGCATCCCCCCCCAAGTGGGAGAACGGGAGGGAAGTGTGGGGCTCCCCACCCCAAAGGAAGCGGCAGCTAGGTAGCAAACAGAAGACCCCAAAATGCTGTCTAGTTGACCCTGTGCAAGTCACCCCCTCTGTCTCAATTTCCTCCACTGTAAAATGGGCATCATCATGGCACCTACCTCCCAGTATCTGTAAAGGGCTTAATAAATGCTTGTTCCTTCTGCTCCCCCGACTTTTCAGTGGTTCCCCAGTCAGTACGGGCTGCTTTCAAGGAAGCGTCATGTGTCAGAAAAAAAAAGCTGGATTTGGAGTCAGAGGACCTCGGTTTGAAGTCTGACTCTGCTCTTTACTACCAGGTGGGTTACACCAACCCTCTGTGCCTCGGTTTCCCCCTCTGTAAAATGAGGGAGTTGACCTGAAGGACACTATCTGCCATTGGTTTCCTTTCAGTTCTAGGTCTCAATTAAATGAAATGAGACATGGGAAGGGCTTTAAAAATGTTAAAAGGGTCCACGTCAAAGAAAACATGGGTTTTTATCCTCCCTGCATTTCCCTGCTTGGCCTTTCTTGGAGCCATCTACAGACCTACACTTCAGCCAGGACAACGTTGCCTACCTCTATTTCCCCACCTTTGCCCACACTTCCTCTCTGCCTGGGGTGCCCTCTCCAGCCTGGCCTGCCCTGGGGACCACTGCTCTGACAACCCTGTTCTTATTCACGGGCCTCACAGCCCAGCTCTGATGCCCATTTCTTAGGCCCCCACCAACTCCATTCAGCTCTACAAACACTAGGCAGCTGCTATGCCCAGGGCACCGTGCTAGGAATTCGAGCACGAGGGAATGGAAATAAAAAATGGCTCAGTCTGCCCTCAAGGAGCTGACATCCTATTGGGGGAGGGGCAGAGGGAACCAGGCGTGTCCTCTATGCAGATACGGGGTGATGGAGACAAAAGATCCAGTTCAAGGACCTTCAGAACCTTTAAGGAGGTGGAGGAAGGCCCTAAGAGCAGGAGAAATCTGTCCCAGACCCATGGAGGCATCTTGGCTACTAAGCCCCAAAGGAAGTTGAGAATTCGGGAAGATTTCTTCCAGGCTTGGAGACGGCTGGCCAATAAACATCTCTTAAGCGCCTACTGTTTGCCAGGCACTGGAGGTCTGTGAGGAAGTAGGGAGTGGTGTGTTAAGTGTGGGGCTCACGTTTAGAGTTGGCAGGGACTTCATATGCCATCTGATTCCTCATTTTACAGAGGAGGAAACTGAGGCCCCGGGAAGGGAAGGGACTTGCCCATTGTCACACAGGAGGAGGCAGGATTCAAACAAAACTCAGGCAGGTTCTCTGAATCTGAATGCAGTGCTCTGTCTAAAATTCCTCTAGTCTTATTCACAGGCGAGACAGTAATTGTCTTACCAGCCAAGAGCAATGGATTTGGAGACTGAGATTCTGGGTTCAGAATCTAAGCATTCTACTACAATTTCTTCCTCTTTTCCCCTCTCTGTCTTTCTCGTCCCCTCTCTTTATTTTTGTTTCTTCTCCCTTGTCCTTTTTGCATTCTCTCTCTCTCTCTCCATTCTCTGTTTTCTATCTCTTCCCTCTCCTTCCCTTCCTCTCTCTCCTCTTTGTCCTGTCTTCTCCCTTGTCCTTTCTGTGTTTTGTCCTTCTCTTCTCTTTCCTTCTTCTCCTTCTGTGTCACTTTTCCTATCACGGTGTCTTTGCATTAGCCATCCCCTGAGCTGAGGATGTCCTCTCAGTTTGCCTGACTTCTTTTAAGACTTACCTTGAATCCCACCTCCCTGGACCCCCAGCTGTTAGCGCCATCCTAGCTGAGATCACCTTCCTCCTAACTCTGTGTAATACTTCTATGTGCTTAGCTGTCCACAAGCTATTTTCCCCATTAGACTCCCTTCAAGAGCAGGATAAGTTTTTTTTTCTTCCCATTGCATCCCCAGTGCTGTAAGCATTTCAGGGCACATGGTGAGCATTAACAAAAACATTTTGACTGACCAACAGCTGCAAAGTAGTGATGCATGTCTGTGTGGAGACATATGATTTATTCAACCAACAGAAGGTATGTTTTCCTATTTACAATGCTGACTCATGGCTTCATATTTTGTTGGAGGTAAAGGAAGATCAAAATGCCAACGCTTGGTAGGCAGATGGATCCCTGGGATACATTGCCATCCAAGGAACTGGAGAGAGCACTAGCTTTTTTTTAGGCAATTGGGGTCAAGTGACTTGCCCAGGGTCACATAGCTGGTAAGTGTCAAGTGTTTGGTCTGAGGCCGGATTTGAACTCAGGTCCTCCTGTCTTCAGGGCCAGTGCTCTATCTACTGTGCCACCTAGCTGCCCCGAGAGCACTAGCTTTAGAGCCAGAGGACCCGGGTTCAAAGCCATCACTGTTGCTCTGGGCAACCTTGGGTACTCAGCTTTCCCATCTGCAGATTGAAGTGCTGCCAGGCATGGTGCTAGGCAGGCCTAAAGACAAAAGCAAACCCTGTGTCTGCCCTCAAAGACCTTACTTCCTCCTGGAAGGAAACAATTCTTCCATGATAAAAAGTGATTTTTCCATCTCCTATCACCTACATCATTTGGTACCCTCATGGCCTTTCACATTCTGTCTTGGACTGTTTTGATTTGGGCAGGCTGGAAGCTCCCTGGGGGCAGGCACTGGGTTGGGTCTTTTTCTTTGTGTCTTTCGTACAAAGCAGGAATCCGCCCCATAAGTTTGTGTACTAAATACTCAAGTGCTACATACTGAATCTTTGTAGAATGAACGAACGAATGGCTCAGAGGCTAAGGAACGGCCCACAGTCCTCCAGGGAGGATCAGGATCAATTGTCCTCAAAGCTGCCGAGGCCTGGGAGCCTCCAGCCCTGGGCTGGGGCAGCGCCTGAGGGCGGGACCAGTCTGTCTGGGACAGAGGAAGGAGAGGTAGACGTCATGCTTTGCACCTGGAAGGCCAGGTTTGTCGTTTGGACAGCAGAAGAGCCCCTGACTCAGTACAAGAAATACGGCAAACTTGTTTTCTGTAGACGGAGTGTAGCATAGCTGTTGTTGTGATTAATATACTACAAAAGCCTCCTTAAATTCCTAGGGGCTTTTTTGTCCCGAATTTATATAGGGCTTTAAGACTTGCAAAGCTTTGAATCTGCTCCTCTTAACGGCGCTGGGTGGTGGGTCACTGTTGTTGGCCCCACTTTACAGATGAAGAAACTGAAGCTGAGTGAGGTCATCACATCAGAGATCTAGAACCATCCAGTCCAAAAAACACCCTCATTTTACAAAGGAGGAAACCGAGGCCCAGAGAGGAGAAGGGACTGGCCCAATGTCACACAGGCAGCATCAGGTTAAGTGAACCTGGTAGAACTGGGGAAAATGGGGTCCAGCTATGTCACCCCCTAGGCCTCAGTTTCCTCTTCTCTGAGATAAGGGGACTAGAAATGATCTCTAAAGAGCCTCTCCCCACATCTAGAGATAGAACGCTCTGATTTGCTTAGATTTAGCCAGGTGTTTATGACAGGATTTAAACCCAGGCTTTCTTGGTCTCAAGCCTATCACTCTTATCTGCTACTGCACACTGCCTCTGGACTTGTAAATCAACAGATACTAAATAGTGCATCTACTATCATCAACCCATCCATCCATCCATCAACAAGCCTTTATTAAAAATTCACTATGTGGGGGCAGCTAGGTGGCACAGTGGGTAGAGCACTCGCCCTAGAGTCAGGAGGACCTGAGTTCAAATCCAGCCTCAGACACATGACACTCATTAGCTGTGTGACCCTGGGCAAGTCACTTAACCCTGATTGCCTTGCCAAAAAAAAAAAAAATTCACGATGTGCCATTCACATAACGAATTCACAGTCCCTGTCTTCAAGGAGCTATTCTGTCATGTAGGAGTCTGAGAAATTTTCGGAAGCTAAAATTGAAGGGTCACTTTGGTTAATGTATTGGTTAGCTTTGCCTCTCCCCCTTCTTTTTTATTCTTTCTGTAAGGCATGACTCTCTGGGAGGGAGAAGGAAGAAGGCTATATTGGGAAATGAAGGTGATGTAAAAACAAATTAATAAAATTTCCAAATTAAAAAAAATACTAAGGGGTTCTTATACTCTTGGGAGGTACCAGTCTAGACCAAGCGTGCAAGGTTTCCCAGCCTAGGGACTCCAGAGAGGCTTTGGATCAGGGTTCCACTGAGGCTATTCCCCAGTCTTCTACTCTGACCTCCAAACACCCCCTACCCCATCTCCATGTCCAGAGAGGACCTCTCATGTTCTTGCCCCGTGAGTATGGCAGGAGACCATGGGCACAGAAATTTCAGCTGGAAAGGCCCTTGGAGCTCTTAGCCACAGTTCAAATTGAGAAGAGACACAGCTGGCCCCCTCCTCATTTTCATGAAACAAATTCCCAAAGCCTACCTTGCCTCCTTTGAGGGACACTCAGCCGTGGGGCACAGAGAGTCAAGAACCTCTAGGTTCCAGTCCCAAGAGCTGACCGTGGCCTCAGTGTTGCCCTATCTGTGAAATGGGTGTGAAGACCGCTTCCTCCTCTGAGAAAAGATGCAAGATCTCAGAGCAGTTGTCACACCCAAAGAGCCCCAAGAGGGGCCTGCCGGAAATGAAATGAGACAGCGGCCCAACTGCCAGAGGACAGAAAGGAAGTGGGTGATCTAAAGTCCTCCCCCAGAGAGCCTGCTGAGGTTTCAATCAGAACAAGCTTCTATTAACACTGGGGGCGGGTGGGGAGGGGGGAGAACCAGAGACCAGAGTAAGGACAAAGTGGGGGGTGGGGCAGGGAGGCACCTGGAGGATGGACAAGATCAGGAAAGACTTTCTGAGCCTTGAGGCAGCACCGAGCAGGAAGAGCATTTGGGTCTGGGGGCACAGTCTGAATGAAGGTGGGGAGATGGAAAGGCCTGAAAGGGGGGCACAGTCAGGCTCAGAAAATGGTGGGGTACAGTCTGCATGAAGGCTCCGAGATAGGAGGCCCCACTGGTGGCCTGGAAGGGCTGAAGGAGGCTATCGTTTGGGACTTAGACCGCCTCCAGAAAGGACTCCTAGGCCCAACCACAGGATCTTGCATCTAAAGCTGGGAGAGGCCTTAGTCACCATCCAGGTCAATCTCCTTGGCTTTTAGATGTAGACACTTGAAGCTCGAGAGACTGACCTTGACTTTCCCAAGGTCACAAGGCAATGAGTGATAGAAGTAGGGTTTGAGCCCCAGTCAGAGCCTGAAGTTCTATAGTTCTGGGGCTTCCCCTCTATGATTTACAGTCAGAGGACATGGGTTCAGATCCTGACTCTGCCATTCTTAAACTTGTGTGGTATTGGGCAAATCACCAAGTCTGTCTGGGCCTCAGTTTCCTCACCTGTAAAATGAGGGGGTTGGCCTCTGAGGTCCCTTCCTGCTCTAAAT